CACACACACACACACACACACACACACACACACACACACACACACACACACACACACACACACACACACGGCTCTAATTAGCTGGGTTGCCTCGGTTCAGCAGTGGTGTGATGATGGGAGTAGAGAGAGATGGTATTGGGAGAGGATACTCTGTCACGCCTTCTCATTAAAGGGTCAGTTCACCCACAAAACACTTTTGTCACTTACATTCATCCAATGGAGGTTTGTTTGCGATGCTTGAAGCAAAAAAGAAATGTTGCTTTTTTTCCTTCTGAAAAAGGGAACACAAATATTATCCCATTCACTGGCTTTGTGTTGAGGGTGGAGCAAGAAATGTCTGATATTACATCACTGACATAGACTGTATATAAAAATCAATGACATGACAGCTCTCAAAAGAGAAGCCTTATTGTCGCCCCCCCCCCCGTTGGCTGTCTGCGTAGAGGTCATAAACCCCGCCTCCTCTATGTCAGCAGATGGGACATGGACCAAATTAAACAGTAAAGGTTTGTTTTTGGTACATGTTTACTATTTTAGTTCTTATCACACTGGTTTGTGTTTGATTGGTTTAATTTAATTCTTGATTTTCAACCCTCCACTCTGTGGCTGAATGGGACCGTGACATTTGTTTGCTCCCTCAGGACTCGACCCCAAGTCAGTCAAGAGACCTCGGCGGTAACGGCTCCATGTTTGTGAACGAGGCTGCGTTCGCCAGCACCAGCATCAACAACCGCCATGTCCACCACAAAAAAAATGACCCCAGCAAACATAATTGTCTCAACACCCTGCTGGCCAGGTCCAACAGCAGACAGCCCCCTATAGCTAAGACCCCCCATAATCCTCACTCAGACTCCCAGGGATGGATGATGGGGACGGGGTACCTCTACAGCCCTGCAGGAAAGCTGGGACTGCAGCACACACCCACTGGTAAGAATTACCCTCAACATAATGTTTTCTAAAAATGGTGTCATTACAATAAGCTGAAATCTACCAATCTTTTCTTTTGTCTGTCCAACAGTCCATAACCTCAAATGTTCAGTTTGCTGTCATACAAGTTTGTTGTAATTTTTAGCTTGTGACCCTCCAAAAATACAGCAATATTTACTTATTAACCCGGAATCACAGTTGATTTTTAAATTTCTCAGATTTGTTTGATTTGAATACATTTTTGAGCCTCAAAGCAATGCAACATATATATATTTAAAAACAAAATAAATGTTTCTGTGATGAGAATTTAAAAGTTGCATAGCAGATCTGTTTTTTTGTTTTGTTTGCATTTTCTAATAACCAACTAACACTCACAAATCACTGTATATTGAATTTGCCATTTTATTAGTGCTGTCCAAATGTTTGTACCATCATGCTTTGCTCTCGCGGCGTTGACGGGAAGCAAAATGGTGGAGAGACGAGAGGAGATAGGGCAGCACGTCTCAGCCTTGTCTCTCTGGTGATTCTACTCCTTTTTAGCGTATGTAAGACAAATTGGTAAATTGTGGCGGTAAAATATAAAATAACAGCAGAGCAGCCATCACAGCACAAACTGAGGGAAACAAGTTCATTCCTACATTTAAACATTTTCATTGAATGTGCTTTAAAAGTATTAATATTAAGTGTAAAACATTATGACTCATTGAGTGAGAGGGTTATTTTGGACACAACCATAAACCCTTTAGACTTTACCGATGACTCATTTAAGAATCCTCAGACCCCAGATTGCGAAACAATAAGATTTAAAAAACAGCAGATTCTCACATTAAAAGCTGTAATTAACTATAAAGAATCCTAATTATTTTCTAGACCCAATTCCACAAAGAGAAGGAAACCAAAGATATAATGATTTGATTTCTTAACAACATTCATTTCCATATTAATGACCGAAAACATTTTTTTAAACTATCTTTGCTTTCAGATCTGTGATGGGAAGAAAGCTGGCATTAAAACAATAAAAGCATCAAGTGGCTCAATTACTAATTTTCATTAGTGGTTATGATTAATATCCTGTACCCCAGATACAGGAAGTGATACATGGAAGTGCCTCTTCCATTGCACAGTAGGACGCTGTTTTCATTGCGGCTCAACATTATTAAGAAATGTGTTTCCCGTGAGAATGTAAACAAACCCTCTGCCTGCACTGGTCTCATCCACATATGTGAGAGCATACTGTACACACACACACACACACACAAACACACACAAGCATACACACACACTGTTCTCAAGGCTGTAGCCCCAGTGAGGCCTTGTCTGCCCTTCCTCTCCGTTAATCAATGTCTCCTGACAAAGAAACCACCCCGTCCTCCCCACCGGCTCCACCTGCACCAGCAGCGAGCCGGGGTCCCTCGCCTGCCAAAGCAAAGGAAAATCAATGGCTCCTCTATCTATCGACTGGCAGACAACAGCATGTGAATCACAGTTCGCTGGCGATGGCTGACTGATTGGGGCATTGATCTTGAAAAATCTTTACAAAACTCATTACAGCATGACTTGTCACCGCATCAGGCGAAGGGGGGTGTGGGGGGGAGATGCAGAAGAGTATTAATCTGGGCTTCACTCGCGAGGCGTTAGCCGCATTCTCACTTTTTGTCCGTCCACATTCCTAAATCCATTCATGCACACGCTCATGCTTATATTCACGACAGGAGGGGAAAATTACAGGTTACATTCAACTCAGCCTGTGTGAAAACAGGTCAGTGTTAACTGCAGCTGATGTTGAGTTCATGGTATTGTTTGCCAGCTACAGGTGGTGGAATCTCTTCCTCACTGAACAGCTTATTAACCTTTCCTCATTATTGAGCACACACGGGCTCGAGTGAAACCTGAGTCACTTGTTAACAAGCCCGGGGCACATACTTGGCTGCAGCCTGCAATGCAAGGTGCGTTCCAGCTGACAGCTACCCACCATCCGCTCCCACGAGGACCTGCAGTAAAATAATTACAGAAACTGAATAAAACTTCCAATCTTCACATTATTTCCAATTAGTTTTAACCCTATGAAAAGGAGTCCTTTTTTTTAATTTCATGTGCACTACAGACTTGAAAAGCTCATCAATCACCCACTGTCTGGAACCTGGTATCTCTTTGTTCCTGTAAGAAGAAAAGAAACCTCTTTTAAATGCAAATTCCCTAACGTGCCAACGGTCACACGGATAAAAAAAAAAAATACGATCTCACTTTGCATCATCACCAGAGCATGTGAAAAAGAAAATTCTCATGCTTGCACACATACACACACACCCGTTTTTCATTGGCATAATTTTTCCCAGCACGATGTCATCTAGAGGAACCAGTTGGATGGAATGTGCTGAAATGACTTTTCATCTGATGAGTATTGTCTGGTTTGTGTTGCTCACCGTTTTGTTCAGAGAGTGGAGATGAAGCTTTGTGCACAGTAGATTAATTATTGTTGTATAATGGGCTGCATGATGCACAAACCTGCTTTGTGACTATGTAACAAAGCTTTGAGCTGCACAGTGAAATAGTAGACAGTAGTTTTTTATGCTCAATACTGAGATCACTACAACAGACTAATATGGGATTATATATGTCCCTCCAGATCAGGAAATGTGTCTTTGTTTGACCAATCAGGACAATAAACACACTGAAACGGATAAATAAGTTAAAATGATACACACTCTTTATTTGGGTTTGTCCTAGTCAGGTGATCTAACCACACTCAGATGTAAAACACAGATATTATTACCTCTGTCAATGAGCATAAGGTTTTATCAGCCTTGTTTTCTGTTTGTGCGAAAGTCAGCAGGATTACACAAAAACGTCTTAACCGATTTCCCTGAAATTGTGAGGATGGATGGGACACGACCCGAGGAAGAACCCATTCAGTTCCCCAGATAAATGATTCCACGTAGTTTCAAGCAACCTTTTAGTTGTATCATTGGGTTTCTCACATTGACATCAAAATAGTCTGTGGACCTGATGCAGATTTTGCACGTCACATCTTACTCCTGTGTGTGAACCAGATGGAGCTGTGCTTCAGGCTCACAGCTACATTTAGCTGCTTCAATCACAACACACCCAAATATCCAAGCAAACAACTAGTGGTCATGTCTCATTGTGGCTAGTTTATAAATTGAAATTGAAATGAATTAAAGATGGGGATATTTCAGATGCATTTATTTTGATCGTTGTTTTAAAAGTTCAGTGCTTAATCAGTTTACTGTTTAAACAACTTCCCCAGACTGATCACAAAGACTTGTGAAAATAATAGCAGTGGATTTGCATGATTTAAAATTTTGTATTTTATCAACACTATTTAGCAGGAGCCACATTTACACCATTCTATCAACACTGATAGAGACCAATTGAAGCCGCATCACCAGCTTTTTGAAAAATATTCACATTATGCTCCTGCAGCTGCATTTCACTGTCATTTTTTTTTATAATGGTATTGCTTTCTTTAAATAGCATCCATTTAATGTCATACTAATAATTCTGAAATCTTACTTAGTCGAGAAATTTTATGATGCGGCCGATGTCTCATATATCAAAGTTCAAGCCTATGTGGTGTCTCACGGTGCTGCTCCAACAGAGTCTGATATAATTAATCAAACAGAGACACTTTCCTACAGGGACACAATGAGGCAATTTATAGTTCACGCCATCTGTTGCCATGACAGCACACACCTGTCCCTAATGCTACATGGCACCCGCCACACACACAAAAATGCAAGCACACACACGGACACATCATCAGCTCTGCACAAAAAACACATTGTCTCTCAGGTAATTGATTAATAATGTTATTGCTCTTATGATGAGAACACTACGCCTGAAGCTGGAAATATAATAATTTGCTCAAACACACTTCACACAGATCCTAGGTTGTTCATCCTCCCTCGTTTCCTTCGCCTGGTTTCCTCACCTCATCTCGGCTGTGAAACGTGCGGAGGCAGGTGTCATCGAATCCCGACCATGAAGATTGATTTGGCTGACAAACATAATGATAAACGTGACACCTCTAAGTACAGGGAGAATGATGGATATCCAAGATCTTTCTGTTTTGACTTCCTCTCTCATGCAGGAGGCAGCACTGTGGCTGATCTACACGCTGTTAGCGATTAGACGAGTGGGCTAAACAATTAGACTGAGCTCATTAAACAGTGGCTACATGTCCCATCCTGGTGATTATTTTTCAGTGCTTACTAAATGATGAAGTCTCCTTAGTTTGAGTCTGGCAGATGCAGTATCAGTTGCTGTATTTGTTCTACACAGATTAACTTCAACCCGTTCATCTTATCATCTTATCACACTTGCCATGTCTGTTACTAGCCCAAAGAAGTGCAGTGCTGATTTTTGTGCGATTTGGACACATAATACGTTCAATATTAATAAAATCTAATAAATAGACGACCAGTGCTGTGTAGCAGTCTGAGGGGAGGGTCAGTGTGCCTTTAGTCTGTGGACCAAGTTTAAAAAATGTTATGTCCTTAGGTAAACCACAGCAGTGGTCTGCAACTGGGTCAAAATCACCCCAAAATCATTTTAATAATTTCATTTATTATTATTTTAATACAGCAATAAAGCAATTCCAGTTTCATTTGATGAAAAACATTGACGATAAAATTGTTATTGCAGATGAACCAGGTAGGATGAATGTTTTCTAACTTAGTCTGACTGGGTAAAAAGCTCTGCACACAACGTCCAGCACAAAGACAATAAAAAGTGACAGTATATTGTAGAACTGTTTGAGGAGGACTCACTAATGACACTAGCTCTAGCTCTGGAGCATCAACACAGGACAAGAAAACATGCAGGTTTATAAAAGTCACTGCATTACCTATAATAATATTGTTTTTTTCTGTGCCCACACAGATCATAGCAGTCACAGCTACATCGGGGAGACCTGGTTGTCGAGGGCAAGTGGAACTGATTTGTATCAGGGGCTCCCGCATCCCGCTGACCCTCAGCTGGACCTCAGTGCGCTGGTTTCCTTGGAGACTGACAGCAGTGGGGAGGAGGGCAGGGAAGAAACCATAGTGTACCTCTGAATATTGATAAATATGAGACTCTTAAAAAGCCAACCCAGCACTTGGAGGAAGATAAAGACATTAATGGAGGCCTAAGCAAGGAATGGACTGGGGCGGCCTCAGAAAGCATTTCCCTGTAAAGATGTTTTTTCATTTTTCTTGTATATTTGAAAGATTGCTGCGTGGTATTTTTTTGTGGCGTGGAGAGTTTCTGGAAACACACAGGGAGATAAAGAAACTGAGGTTGTTTCAGACTCAATCTCACATGTGTCATGCACCTTAGCTCAAGGCCCCACTGGGTGTCCACAGTCTCTTCATTTTCTGTTATTTGTGTTTGTGCGTGTGGTCTATATTGTCTGCCCGGGCCCCTGCAGCTGTTTTTTCTCCCTCTCGCCCCTCCTCCCTTCCTCAGGTCCCACATATCTCATCTCTGGAGCTCTATATTTATTCAATTTACCCCAGAGGGAGAGAAAGTGTAAACCCAATATCAGCAAAAACATGAGGCTGCATCTCACCAGCAGGTGATTGTCTTTCCATAGAGTAAACTGTCTCTCTGTCACTTATCAGACAGGCTGTGTTTATGGACGAGCATAACGCAGAGCACAAAGCATTAGAACTGAAAGATGAGGCACGACAGCGTCAGCCCCACGTTTTTTTCCGTCTCACTGCCTGTACCAATCATTTATTTCTCTTTTATCGGAAGACTGTTTTTTCTTGTTAAGAAAAATAAGCTCAGATGTGGATTTTAAGAAAGATGTTGCAGCTGTAGTAATATCTCTCCGTTTTATCACCGCGCAGCATTTCCACCAGGAAAGCCTGAGACAGCATCTTTTCAGCACATCTGCTAAATATATTTAAAAAAAAGAAAAACGTGTCAGACCAAACAAATTTCAACACTTACTTTATAATGTTACAACAATTCCATTACAAATCTCTGGTGACTTTTTTGTTTTCTTTTATTTCCAATTCATTTTCTTTGGATAGAAATGTCCGACAGTGAGTTGCTCCAGCGCTTTGATCCAGACTGGAATATCTGAGGAACTACATAAAAGATTACCATTCGATTTTGTAAAAATGTTCATTGTTCCCAGAGGACAGATCCCTATCACTGTAGTAATTCCATGGCTTTTCCGATACCTTCATCATCTGTTTAACATTTAATGTCTCGGCGACCAAACGATTCAACTACAGCAACTTGTCATCTCTTAACTTTTCATCTATAGCTGCATGTCCAGGTGAAACCTTTTATTTGTCCAGTACTTTGGTTGATGCCCAAATACCTGCAAATGTAATGACTTCCCTTCAGATTCAGCTGTTCTTCGTCTCTAGTGCTGACTTTCACATATGATCATGCAGAGGCCATGTTTCACCACTGAAACATGGCCTCCCGTTCACTTTCAATCTGTGAGAGTAAGGAGGCATTAAAACATCTGCTTCCTCTGGCAAAGTAATTTGCAGCGTGGCTTCACGTGGAGTACAACTTCGCTAAACTTTGGCCAGCAATATTCTTTTAAATTTGCGAATTTTGACTGAGTTCTACAGGGGGTAAGATGTTATTCTTAAATGATTGCCCTGTACAATAAGAAACACCTCATCCTTACACTTAAATATTCATGTAGACCATCCGTTATCTATATCATTTATCTTTTAGGGGTGGCTGGGCGGCTGCATGGGGCCAAACCCAGCTGACATTGGATGAGAGGCGGAGTGCACCCTGGAATTGTCCCCAGTCCAGCACAGGGACAATATACATAGACAAAAAACAATTCACGCTCACATTCACATATACTGTCAATTTTGAGTGTCCTGCTATCCTAACCTGCATGCATTTGGACTGTAGGAGGAAGCTGGAGCACCTGCACTCATACCCAGACAGACACAGGAAGAACACGTGAACTCCACACAGAAAGGCCCCGGCTAGCCGGCAGGTTCCGATTTATCATTATCACCATTATTCTTGTTGTATATTTACTTATCGTTCATAAGCGTTTTTGTTAAAGATGTCCCTGCAATGCTTTAGGTGTTTTAACCGACACTATAGAAGATGAATTGAATTACTATTGCAGTCTTCTAATGGGACAATAAGGCAGTGGCCGTGTTTTGATGTGATTTTGGTACCATGTCTATATGTGTGTGCTTTTATTTATTTATTACATTACAAAAGAGTTCAACTGTTTGACATTGCTTTGTGGAGGGTTGTATTTTAAATAGGAGCGTGCCTGTGTAAACTGATGAAAGTGTGTTTTCTTGTTGTTTACTCATGTGTTCTATATACAGACACAGCTTTATTGATAAAATTACTTTGTCGAACTTGAATTGGTGCTTTGTTTATCTCTAGGTTAACACAGGGCTTTGTGATGGAGGGCATTAATACAATAAAACACCAAACTGGTTGAAGCACAAACACAACGTTCAGTGTGGGTACAAATATCACGTCTTTCATGAGCGTGGTCTGAATGTGAAAGTGGTGAACAGACATGTGAATGAGCAGCGCTGTGGTGTCAGCAGCGACAGGTGGTAGACAAGGTGTTCAATTGTTACCGATTTCCTGTCTGGCTGCACCGCGGAAGTGCAATAATAAAAAAACAACATCAGTATCGGATGAAAGCGATATGTTGTCGAGCAACAAACATGGCTGTGTACAAAATGCTGGGCTGCTGAAGATTCCTAACAATGAAACTCGCTTCACCTTCTCACTCTCAAGTAAAAGCTTTAAAAATAAAAACAGTCTCCTCAACTGGAGCTTCCCCTGCTCCACACGGGTGTTGTGTGGTGCTTTTTCCCTATTCGACAAAAGAGCAGGTGCCTGAGATCAACTGGGTGTACAGATCACCTTATTATGTCCCCAGCTACTCACAAACAACACCCACTCTAGTCCCTTAATAGCTGCAGTCCTCATTTATTATTGTAGTTTATAATTGATTTTTGCTTTGCTACATTAAATTTACCAACATAATATTTTTTTTATTATTTTTACTTATTATCATATTGATTTTACGAATTTGGCTCAAACCTGAGAAGATGAGGTGGATTACACTGGTTTTAGTACAAACAGGTATTTTGCATTCCCATTTCCCTTATTCAATACCATCCCATCAAGAATTAATCTTAATTTACTTATTTAATTAATTTACTGTCTAACTGTCTATTTGCTTTGATTTTGACTGTATATTCCTGTCTACTCCAAAGATCAGTCACTTTGCACTGACAGCTTTAATTAATTTAGATCTCCAGAGGTGTATTGTGACATATTTGAGTGAACAAAAATGTGGAGTTCCCCAGGGATCGATATTTGAGCTTCTGTTCATTCCCCTGCTTGTCTTCCTTGATACCTTGAGTTATGCAAATTGACAATCAAAGATAAATCTGTTTTGTTTCGCAGCCAAACAATTCCCTGAGGACAATGTCCTCCCTCCCTATGATCATGTAAAGATGAAAAACACATAAAAAGACCAAAACCAATAAGGGTTTGATCCTAGTGGACAGTATTTGCTGTGATTCCAAAGCTTGGCATCTTATTCTTATGTGTCACAGACTGCTCCTTCTGCCCCAGAACTATTCAAAACACATTAATGAGGCTGACTGGCTCTTCTTCCATTACCATGAACGTAGGCAATGTGAATTTCTTTCGAGACAATCCCACATGCACCATTCTTTTGCTGTAAATATTCACTAACACAAAATCTGCGGCTTAATAATTCCCATCAAATGCACCATTAACCCCAGTTTGAGAAGTTTGCTAAAACTCTGACGCCCATATGTTTCAGATATAACCTTTTTAAAATAAATCCAAACTACATTATTGTGAGATTTATGTCTTTATAATTGGTGACACAGACAGACTAAGTCATTCATGTCTTTTCATGGGACTTGTTTACAGTAATAAAAATATAGAAATTAACCATGACTGTATTTTAAAATTACAGAGTAAATGAAAAGAAAAACATTTCCATTATGGTTGACTGGTTTGCTGTAACTGTGCTTTTCTTACTAATGAGAGTTCTTACTGAGGGTAATCAAGTGTTCACTACCATATTTCATTAAAATTATAATATGAAAAGTGCAAACAAACAGACATTATCTGTTTTATCAAATGCTCTTTGTTATTTCTCAGTTTGCTGTGTTTATATTTTATCAGACAAAACCCAAAGTTCGCTGAACACTCAGGAACCCTCCAGGCCTCTGGGATCACGTGGGACATCTTTGCCTTCAAGTTTTAACACAACATATACGAGTCGAGGCTGCAGTTAGTTTCTCCGCAGCACAAATATGGAATAAACTTCTACGAGATCTGACGTCTGCTCCAAATCTTACCCTGTCCCAATCAATGTTGTTGAGTTTACCACTACTTCACTGAAGTTCCAGCTGTTTTAACACTGTAACTTTTATCAAATTTGCTGGCATTCTGCTTCTTACTAGTTATTATTTCATATAATCAAGTCTTGCTCTTTACTTTTCATTTTCAACAACCTTTAAATATTTCAGTACGTTGTCATTCCTTGTATAAGCGCTGTGTTTCCGTGCAACTCTTTCTCTCTCTGATCTTTTACACCGAAGAGCATATGGAAATGTGGTCGGACCGGTGTGATCCTCCTTGTACATCTGGCAGCCGTTCAAGGGTCCATCATACTTATCACCTCGGCCGTTAAAATGGAGATTACACTCCTCTCCATCAGCTCTTGCTGGGCCTGTGGTGGAATACCTCACCCAATCAGTTGTGAAAGTCTCTGTACGTTTCGGTGAGCAACCGCTTTTGCAAATCATTTCATGGACCACATACTTTTCATACATGTCCCTGTGTTTTATGTGCATCTTCAGCTTCGGAGGAAGTCTGTCAAAGGCACCGAACAGTCATTTGAGAGGGGGAACTGTTTGTGTGTGAAGAAATAGTTGAAAGGGGAAAAACGTATTTTGCCAAGACAAACTCTTTGTCGTGGAGACGTGTTTTTCGGTGTGACAGGTGTAATTGCAGCCTCTCCTACAAGGATGTAAATGCCAGTCAGCCATCTGGATATTTCCTGCTTTGCTGAGAGTCTCTGATATCATTCCCTGATAACATTACAAAGGCTTTTAATTTCCTGATAAGCTTTAAAAGTTTCACATCTCAGAGCTCTTTTTTTACTCACTAAACCAAACACTACACATTTAAAACCCGAAATAGTGTTAAATACTTAGCCTTTCAGGACCTTACCCCCCTGGGCTTCGATCTGTATGGATTCAATAATCATATGTTGTTCCTTTCTCATTATACTGTACTGAAATCCCAGTGCTGTCTACCCAAGTTGTTTTTTAATGACCCCAGTGGAAGGTAACCAATACCACCAAAGGAAAAAACGATAAATGTGAAACTTATTATTGCTGAGTCATCTGCCTGGGTGAGGCATGCGTTGCTACGGTCGTTCCCAGGGGACAGCGTAATGATTTCTGTAGGCGCACAGGATAAACCTGCCCGGCCCAAATATAAATAATAGTCATTAAAGCTTATACCGGTGAGGAATGCTTTCATGAGAAACCTAAACAATATAGAGCACATATAGAGGTTATTAGATTACTCTTGGGGAGAAATACACTGACAGGCTAGACTCAATATATAGACTCCTGGAGGAGAACATCTACAGTGTCTGGAACAACTTACTGTGTTTTTTTTTCTTTGACTTTCAGTAACAGTGCCAGGCTTTCTTTTTTTTTTCTCCACTTGTGTGTTTGGAGGCTCTAAATCTTCCAGAGTAATGCTTCCCAATCCGTAGGGTTTGTCTTTGCAGCCTTTGCACTCTTTCCCAAAAGAATGCAGCCTTATTTTTGAGGTGACATTTTAAGTGCACACATGCTCTGATCCTTACTTTTGACCCTGGTTTTTAATTGGTTTCACTCGTCACGTCCCTTTAGAGTCACAGTCATCTCCGACAGCTGTGTCAAGACTTACTGCAATGCTGTTTAGCCCAAAATAAATGCTAATTATAGCATTTTTACATTGGAGAGCTTCAATGTCAGCCATCAGCTGCAAATCGACGCCTTGAAGAAAAGGCACGTAGGTGAGATACACCAGTGTTTTATAACGCCATCGCAGAGAAGTCGGAAAAGTTATATCTGTATATATCTTCCCATGCCTCGGAAGATTACATTGGTAATTCCTTTGCACGAGAGTTAAAAACACGCCTTTGTTTCCAGTTGGCTCTCAAATGATATTATAAGAAGGGTCCTGTATTGAAATAACAACAGTTTGGCTGTTTTTTCCTTTTGTCTGAGCATCAAGAGGCACATAAATTCACATTAGTCCCGAAACTGATAGTTATCCAGCAACAAGCCACCGCAGGATAATCAGAGCTGATTGTGTGGAAGTGAAGAATAATAAAGATTGTGTACGACAAAAATAGGTTTGACACAAGACGCCCGTGTTTGTTTGCTTTTCCCGACATTTCCATACAGTCTAAAGCCAAGTTGGATAAATCAGAGCTTCGGGGAAAACACATCTATCAGCTGGACAGCGTTATGAGTTGGATGTCGGTTTTATTAGCTGGAAAATGGCAAATATGTTCCCTCCGCGTGACGTGGATGCAGCATTAATTAGCTTGCCAGCATTATTATGAGGTTGTTTTTTTTAAATCTCTAGCAGCGTGTATACAGCTGAAGCAAAAAAAACCCTAATAAATAATGACGTCTATAATGCACAAGTGACATAAAGCAATTTTATCTTATTAACATTTTCCAGGCTCTATCTGAATAACTTCTTCATCATCCAAACTAAATATTATGCTATTAATTATCTGAAAAGACAAAGAGATGCTGACAAGGTGCTATTCTCTGCCACATCTGAGATAATGCATTAGAATCACATGAACACATTTGTAGATTTATATACCCATCAAATAAAAATGGTGATGTTGTGATTATCTTCGAGGTTATTTAGCAGAAGTAAAGTCATTTGTTCGCCACATCTGAGGCACATCTGCACGCTGAGAGATGATGATGTGACACATGATTAAAAGCAGAGGTCATGTATTCAACACTTCAGATGCACAACATTCACACTATCTGCTTTAGGTTAAAGCTGGGGTTGGAAATCCTGGAAAAGCTGGATGGTCATGCCTCCCATTGGACCTCTCATCAAAGCTACGCCCCCAAAACACAATAACGTACACTGACAATTGCTGATAGATGACTTTTCCGTGACTCGTTGGCTAACTACTGGCTATAGTGTCTGCTTCAGAGGTGCCTGTCTCTCCAGTCATGAGGCAGGGTTAGTGATCCGTTCCAAATGAAATGATTCTGGTTTATTACAGTCTGAGCGACAGGCAGCGACAGCTTTCTTT